GTTCAAATTGCAACTCTTGGCTGCTACAGACTGCAGACTTTAAGTAAAATAGGTGCATCACTGTAATGCTAACATTACTCTGACCGTCCTCTAAAGCTCAATTCTAGGTTACCCATAAATTCTGACTTCTCGTCTGTTTAACTCATACTTACTCAATCGAGCTGTTCTATCTGTTCCGATTACGACAATCACTAGACAGGAGCAAATCGTGGGATTCATTGCCGTGCGCTTTCTCTTTGGGCTCTAACGGTACAAGATCGCAGGCTGAGGAAATAATCCATAGTTTACTACTTTAAACCCAAAAGGCGAACATTGGTATCCAGTTCAAGGAACGTGCCTGCAGTCTCGCAAACACATTCCTCCTTGTCTTGTCTAAAAATTAGGTAAGACATAAGGCTGGCCGAAGGCTGGAACAATAGGTTGATTTAAGAGAGCGTCCAGGTCCATTTGAGGTGGGTCCAATTACCAGTGTTTTTTTTCAGAGTATTGAGTTATTTGTACAAGGTCTTACACCTGGGCGGGAACCCGATGTTTCCTTGAATCGTTGGACCAATAAATAGCCCATCTTGGATTGTGTCCGGGTAATTACTCCCACAGCCTCGAAATCGCAGGAATTGCTCCTCTGTGGATGGTACATGACTATTTACGTCGGCCGGACGCCCCATCACACAGTCGCGTGCGATTCGCGAATGCGGAATCACATTTTGTATTTAGCAAGCCAAAATAACACCCCAACATTTTTTATAACTCCCCATATATCAGAAAGATATCAGATGTGCTAATGCCCTACTGACTATTGCACACCGGCCTGTAATTACCCTGTGCAAATGGGTCACCAGGTAAAGCCTAGAGAGCAATCTCATGTGATCTATCGTACCTCATGCATAACCTAGCTCTAATTCCGTAGTTCAACTTTGCGTCTACTCGATGGAATACATATGCCTTGGTGACGTAAGAAAGGGCATGCTAAAGCGCACGCGATCTACTCTTTGACTGCATAAAATATACAACAAATGTTGTTATTAATACCGTGTGTCACTTAGAGATCTTACTCCAGTCATTCCAAACTGGATCGTGACGAAATTGAAGAGGCGAAACCAGCGTTGGAAATAAGGAGCGCAGCGGACCCCTTTTCTTCTCCAACGAGGAGTTAAAAACCGTATTTGACGGAAGTTCCCACTCGACAAATGGTCCGTGGGCGCCTAGCTCAACTGACAGTATTATATATGACCGATGCCCATCAAGTCAAAAGCGGCATAAAAACAAACGGATGCTGCATGAATTGAACGAAAGTCAATAATATCGCCTTAGAATTCGTTCAATACTTTTTTCCTCACAAAAATGATCACTTTGCAAATCATATGACACCGTCACGACCAATGATGGCCCATGATCCGGAAAGGGGAAACGACTGTAATTTGGAGATTGCGCAAGTGATTACTCGAACAGAATGCAAAATTGCCTATGAACTGATTGAACGTTGGAATTTTAAAAAGAACACGATCCCAGAACATGTCGGTTTCCCGGCGGGGTATAGTTCCTTGTGCAAATAGTTCCCGGCTTTTATAAAACGGACTTCATATCCGATCTACTGCCTCCAAAAATGCAGTACTTTTCATGCTACACACTAAGCTCAGATAAGTAAACCAACGCTCGACCACTTTCCTGTCTCATCAAATAAGGTACTTGCACTTTCAGGATAGACTTTAATTTGCGACCTGTCATTTTAAAATAATTCGAATAGTCTATACTTCCGCCAGTCTACGGGAAGATTAAACGGAGTTCCAAGATACTGGCGACCCAAATCGCAGGACCATAGAGAATGGAGCTCTGTTACCCACTTTCGTCGGAAACAGAAAAATTTCTCTCATCGAGTTCTTCGGTCTAGTGAACAAGTCGCTGCGGTACATATGGGGGGGCGAGCGTGCATGGGAAAGGCCTGTAAGATGGGAAAAAGCAGCGCGACAGACCTGCTCTGGGTGTTCATGTGAGATAAAAGCAAGTTTTTTTACCTGTCCTGGACTGAAGCCCTCCGTTTCTCGGCAGAATGTAGTGATAAAAAAAGAGTGCATGGACACATCGTCGGTGGACCCAATTCCATTTGACTTTCATTCCTACCATTCATGTTTAGCAGTGCGCCCGACTACATTAGTTGCGTGCTATTGTATTAGGTGGCCGACTACGCAAGCCTAGGTTTTTTTAGTGGGGGACGGCTGTCTACAAATTTGTACTAGTTATTGTACAAGTAGACAATGGAACTAACGGCGGCGTCTGTTAATCCAGACTTGGGACTATACCGGGAGACCGGGGCTTGCGGCACTACAACTGGTCTTTTCGGGAGCATGAAGGCATTTACGCAGTGCTTCCAACTGAGTCTGTATCACACTTATGCGCAACCGTGAAGATAAGTCTGCTGGCCCAAAGACATCAGATATTTAGACTTTTGAGCTTCTAACTAGCATACAGAAACCTATGGTTTTCAGCTCACCTTCCAAAAATGTGGCTTCCCCTGTCCGATCGGCATCATGCAGTTAAACATTTTTGTCTTATATACCTTCCTATAGAGACGGGCCCAGGAATGACGAAATTTTCAGCAGACCAGGGGCCCCACCAGAACAACAACGGGTTAAGTACCGACCAGGTACACAGGCAAAATAAGCCCTTTGAACTTCAGGCTCAACAATAAGTATGAGGTCTGACATCTCGATCGTAACCAGATGTGTTGGCTGTAGACAATAA